TTTCTTTTCTCGTTCTTTTTGTTTCTTTTCTTTTTCCTCCAACAACTGCTGTAATTTCTCTTCTTGTTTCTTTTCTTTTTCCTCCAACAACTGCTGTATTCTCTTTTCTTGTTTCTTTTCTCGTTCTTCTTGTTTTTTTTCTTTTTCCTCCAACCACTGCTGTAATCTCTCTTTTTGTTTCTTTTCTCGTTCTTTTTGTTTCTTTTCTTTTTCCTCCAACAACTGCTGTAATTTCTCTTCTTGTTTCTTTTCTTTTTCCTCCAACAACTGTTGTAATCTCTCTTCTTGTTTATTTTGCTGTTGGAGCTGCCACTGTTGCAGGTTTTCTTGCCACTGCTGTAATCTCTTTTCTTGTTTCTTTTCTCGTTCTTCTTGTTTCTTTTCTTTTTCCTCCAACAACTGCTGTAATTTCTCTTCTTGTTTCTTTTCTTTTTCCTCCAACAACTGTTGTAATCTCTCTTCTTGTTTATTTTGTTGATCGTGCTGCCACTGTTGCAGGTTTTCTTGCAACTGCTGTTGTCTCTCTTCTTGTTTATTTTCTCGTTCTTCTTGTTTCTTTTGTTGTTCTTGTATTGCTGCCATCAAATCTACTAAGCTGTAGTTTGATTTGCCGCTTCTCGTTTCCATTTTTTTTTCTTTTCCGTCCCACTCTCTGACACCAATTTGTTACGCCTCCGGTCGTTAGTTAATTTTCCGTAAAAATTCTTTCCGAAGAAACTTTAGCAATACAAGTCCTTTCTTAAATAAAACTGGTTTATTCTTTCTGAATACAACTTTGCAATACACTTAATTTCCACAGTCGCCCTATAATTCACAACCAACTTCTCACGTGCTCGACTCAACAATACTCTCTCTCTCTCTGTGTCCGCAGTTCACTTACCATTGTCGCCGTCACGTCTTGTCCGTCTTATATGTACAAGAATACCGAATCTAGTAACCTCTCGAGGTTTCATGAACGTTCTAGAAGTGCATGACGTGTTACTAGAATCACGTGACCTCCGCTGTCGTAACAGAATGTATAACAGCATGTCGACCACGGTATATGTGCTATAACCAGTGCAGTTTATTGAACCGTTGACTCAGAGCACAAACGTCTGTTACACAAGCTTTTTTACATATATCAGGCAATATGTAAACATGACATTTTAGAATTAAGTTAAGTTTAATTGAATATCATTTACATATGTGAGACTGATTAGGATGCTTTAGTTATACATATACATAAACTCTTAAATTTACGGGAAGTCTTAATGATCATTTTCTTATCGGCGACAGTGAGCCGAGTTTTAGTTGACCACCTGCACTTCCTTTTTGAACAGAACTATTACGTATCTACACACAAATATCTGAGACCCCTGTTGGAGCAAAGTGTGATAGAATTGGTTGGTACCAGCTGCGAAACAGCGTTTGACAGACAATTTTTTAAGGATTACTCGGCCACTATAAAACATGTACTTGGGGTATGAATATTATTACTTGGTCTAAAACGTTTTCTGTAGTAGACATTGAAGGAATTCATCCTATCATCGAGAACTTGAAACAGCCTTAAACTGACGCCTGAACATTAGTAAAAAGAGTGCAGACCAAGAATAGAGCTTTGTTATGATTCTCTGAACTCGTTAACTCAATAGTAGGGCACTTTGCCAACGTAAGTTAACCTTATGTAAAAAAATAAATAGTGTGTGAAATCTATAACGTAAGAGAAAGTTGAAAGTCTACAGTTGAAAATAAGCGCTCTGTTTTAAAAAATCAAAAAGGATTATATAGCGAAGTGAGAAAATTTACAATCAGTGCTCCCCTGAGACAGGATTCAACGAAACGGTGAGACTAATAACTCTTTGTGGGTTGTACTACGTAATAAATTAGTAAAATTTTACGAACTGTACGGCTTTTTATACAGAAGTAGACGTGTAACAGGAGCTTTACAAGAAACTAAAACTTAATAACATCCAGAGATATATGGGGTAATATACCATCATACAATAGTTTAAGTTGAAAAATAGAAAGAAAAAGATGTTTAGATTGATAAATCCTCTATACCATAACCTACATAAGTGTGTTTTTAATAGATGTGATCTACCCAAAATATTCGGGATTTGGGCTCCAAGAAGCAGCTAAATTAAAAATAATTAAAACATTATTGTAATTAATATATTATAGATTCGAGGCACTGTGAGACACACCCTAGGCACGGGCCCTGTTGGTCGCTACTCAGTGACGCTCCTGAATTTATGTATGTATTTCTGGGAGATAATTTAAAGGTTAGTTGCTAAATTAATTTGATAAAAGAGGACGTCAGCATCGTTAAATGGGACTTCCACTTCACTATTCAGGCGTTGTAGTTGACGCACGTGGGGATGGACGATTCCATGTGTAATAATAGCTAATTGTTCAAATAAGTAGAGTGGTCGTGTATAACTTGGCCTTGACAGGCTTTGTGGAGCGGCATTAATGAGTTGACCCTAACAGCCGACTAAGCCTAGTCGAACACACTAGAATACGCTTTGCTTACTCTTCACGCCAGATGAAATGTGACACTAAGGAAGTAATGTATTATGTAGTGGTGTCTACAACATGTGCATTTTAGCTTGTAGCTATTCCGAGTACTAACCAAACGCTGCATCTCGTCATGTGCACGAGTGACTAAACGGCACGTGAGTTTCAGAAATACTATGTTTTAAATAAGTTCTACTTGTTTTCAGCTCAATTAGCTGTGATATTTTTCTTTCTACAGTGATAACAAACCAGGATATATGTGGTCGTTACGTAGACTTTTAATATTATGATTGTATATAAATTGTATTATGTCTTAAGTTGCTGTTTACGTTATGTTTCCACATTATAATATGATGTACGATGTGTGTGTATATAGCTAAAATTTTCTTCCAGGACAAATCTTTAGGCTTTTACAGATCGGTTATTTAAAGAATATCAACCTTGTATATTGCAAGATCTAATGAAGAATTCAGATTTATTCTTTTATTTAAATAGTTACTATTAGGTAGTAGTTGTGGCCCACTTACAAGTTTCTTTTTGTATAATAATTAGTTTAACTCTAGAATTATGAATGGGCCCATCGGTTTTTAAACACATTTTTCCAAGCTAATTATGCACCAAATTCCTCGTGGACCTTTGTTGATTACTTACTTAGTCACCAATAACATATGATTCACAAAAAACTGGAAACAAATATGTTATAACATATGTTTTTTAAATAATTAAAATCCCCCAGTGAAGGATTTGGATCGGAATTTAGGTTGCAGTTGTATGATCTGGGAGGATCAGGCTCAATATATACCTCTTCCTCCCTCCTTGACTAGTGTTATTTCAAAAACTACATGATAAGTTCGCGAGAATTAGCGCACAAAATGATTTGATTTGTTTAAATATTCCTATTACCTTCTTCAGGGCCATGTCCATGAATTTAAAACTAGCATTTCGTGTTATTACCACTTCGCTTGTTTGATCGCTTTTTAGTTCACAAACAGATTGTTAGCAACGTTACTTTTCACCAGATCACATTACCAGGGGCCTATTTGGGTCAGAGACTTGTTAGTTTTGAATTTTGTACAGAGCTATTCGATGGCTATCTGGGCTAGCCGTCTCTAATTTTGAAGATAGACTAGAGGGAAAGCAGCTAGTCGACACCACCCACCGCCAACTTGTGGGCTATTATTTACCAACGAATAGTGGGATTAACCGTCACCCCCCACAACTGAAAGAGAAAGTATGTTGGGGAACGTGGTTCAAACCCGCAAACTTCAGTCGCGTGATCTAACCACCTGGCCAAGGTCAGCGATAAGTGTATTGACTTACAACGTTAAAATCCGAGTTTCGACCCCCACCGCCCCCTGTGGACAGAGTGCAAATAGCCCAATGTGTAGCTTTGCTCTAAGAAATCAACAACAAACAATTAAAGTTTCGAGATTTCTATTCTTACGAGCGGATCATCTTCAGGCAGTGAACAGTTATTTTTAATACCCCAAAATACTATCGATACTGCCATCAGTTACGCTGGTTGTTTTTGTATAGCAGAATGAGTGATTTCACCCAATTGTTTTTTATCGGTCCTTTATCTAAGTGTAACAGACGAAAACTACTCGGTACGGTGAAATACGGAGACTACATCAGTAGCAAACGGCATAAAAATAAGCCGGTAATTTGAAGGTTAGTTTGAATCTACTGTTGTGTCAATTACAAAACAATTAATATTTATATTTTGACTAGGAAAACGTGATACATCGTATTCTACACATCGTCGACAATGTCTTTTAAGTTAAAAATTAATTATATTTTTTATAAGTATTTATTTAATTCTTTATGTGATATTTGATCATCAATATACAATATACAATATATATATTAACATTTAATATTCGTTATATCGAAATCCAAAAAGACCAATTCGTGTAGGACTTATGAAAAGACATTTATAATATTTTACCACTGTATGCGGTTAGGTTACGAGAATGGTCAAGGTACAAATGAAAGATCACGTGAACATTGATATAAAATGTCAAATGTATAAAGGAGAAAGGTTTTTTCACCAGCCTGTGATTTCAGATTCCTCAACTCTCTCTCTCTCTCTTTTTACAGAAATGGCAAAAACTTAGCATTGTACAAAACTATTAATGACGCGCTTTGTATCACAGATGACAATTATTAATCTGTGTGTTTCAGTTACTACTCAGGATGTCCAGTCATCTGCCCGAGGAAGAGCAACCTCAGCTTACTTGTGGGGTGTGTCATCGCCGTTACCATGATCCCCGTCTGTTACCATGTCTGCATACTTTCTGTACTCGATGTCTAAGTACTTTAGAACCCTTTGAATCTGAGCGTGATGACGTGCTGAAATATTCCCTGAACAGTTTTTCTCGTTTGATGTCACATGGTGCCTCTGAGTACGAGAGTAAAAAATCTAGTTTCAGCTCCCTTCTAACTTTGGACAGGTCAAGTTCTCAAGGTAGTAGTTTATCACGTGGAGTTCAGGTGCTTTGTCCATCTTGTAACAGTATTGTGGATGTGACCAGAGATGGCGTTCAAGGACTGACTCCAAATTATCTTCTTCGGCGCAAAATCACAAAAAATGAAGTCCAAGTTACATCTAAGTCGACCAGCTGTGACATGTGCACTGCAGTAGCTGAAGCGGTGAGTTATTGTCAAGACTGTACTGTACGTCTCTGCTCATTTTGTGCAGAAGCCCATCGTCGCCAGAAGCAGAGTGCTACACACTTTTTGTCGACATTGGAGGAAGCACGCGAAAAAGAGCTTTTCGCTGACTACAAGAAACACATTTGCTTACTTCACAAATCATCAGAGGTCAGCAGCTGGTGTGAGTCGTGTCGACAGATGGTGTGTGACCGCTGTACAATTGACAATCATAGAGACCACCAAATAAATGACCTCAGTAAAGTGTACGAAAGTAAAACACAGCTCTTGAAAAAACTGATGGACTACGTTGTGAGACGGAAGATCGATATTGAAGAAGCCCTCGAAAACATCCAGGAAGTCCAAAAGCAGCTTAGTGACCAAATAGAGCAGTCCAGGGAGGAAGTAGAGAGGTTTATTGCTGCTTACATAAGAGCAGTTGAAACTCATCACCAGCACTTGCTTCAGCACATACAAAGAGTAGAAGTTGGCCGACAACGGGTATTAAGATTACAAAGGTTGCAATTGGAGCAACTTTTTACAGACCTGAATCACTGGGAGAATTTCGTCCAAGAGCTTCTTCAAGATGGAGATGTTCCAGAAGTAATGGGAGTATACCGCCCAGTTCAGAAACGCCTCTTTCACCTGGCCCGCCTGAACCCCCCACTACAACCTCGTGTCTCTCCTGCGTTAAGTTTCTTGCCTCAAGAACAAGTAGGTGACGTGGACGGATACCTTTTATATGGTGTAGTTTCTTCACAAAGTGCTTGTCCATCTTTATGTTTTATTCAGGACGCTGGTGAGTTATTTTAAAAATATTATGTTTTTTTGTTGTTTTTTTTAAGATCTAGTGAGTACTTCTACCAATAGATGTTTTCTTTGTAGTGAATTTCCCATTGGGGAAGAATTTTATCGAATTTCTAAACGTTTAGTTCAGCATTATGTTAAAACTGTACTATATTGACTTGTGTTTAAATTAAAAGTTTACAACTATGAAGACTCGTAAAATGGGTGATATTGAAATATTATAGTAAGAGCGAGGTTTTCTCCTCTTCGTTTTTGTTTTAATTCACTAGCTTTTTGAGAAAGTTGCTGAAGTTGTGACTGAACTGCTCAATTAAGTAATAATAATAATAGCATAACAAAGTAAAAAGGAATACTTGTATTTTGAACTACTGACCGGAGGGAAACAGCCACTCAGCAACACCCTACCATCCACAGTCCATACTAACGTATGGAATGTCATTATTATAACAAATAGAAGAGAAAACCTTGCAGTTATGCCTTTTTATACCTTTATAATTATAGTTTTATCCAGCACCTTTAGCTGTTAAATTGCTTAAGGGAATAATATTGAATATTCAAATTTTTTTGCCGCGGCACAGCGGCTCATAGAACGGCTCTGAGTTTTTATTTTTATTTTTCAAGTACAAGCTTTTAGCTCATAACTCCGTCATCCGTTAACCGATTTAAGATCTAATTACAGTTTTGAATTCAGAAAGCCAAACCCTTTCAACTACTGTATTTGACCACGCTCAATATTTCATAGATTCATTTACTCTAATCCTGCCTAAAAGAATTTCAATTTGAGGGTAATCTGGTTGAGATCCTGATGAGTAATAAAATCGAATTGGGTATACGCGCGCCCCTCGCTTGATATTACTGGCACAAAAATATAGCTAATAAAAAGAGAAAAAAAAAGGTCTCGTAGATTAACTTACTCTAATCCTGCCTAAAAGAATTTCAAGTGCCGCTGCTCTTGAGGATTCCTTCTTGTTTTCTTTGTTTTGGGCAATAAACAATAAAATATTTTCCGAATAAATTGCTATCATACAGCATTACTCATGTTTCTCAGCTGTTAACACATAAATATAAGTAACAAAGTGACAACTCATTTCGTGTAAGATGTTTTACTGACCAATATAGTGTTGCGTATCTGCTCGTTTGTTAATTTCCGGTATAAATTATTTCCGAGGAACTTCAGCAATACAAGTCTTTTCTTAATTAAAACTAGTTTATTTTTCCTCGATACAACGTTTTAATACACAGAATTTCCACAGTCACTCTAAACTTAACAACCTTTATAACACACGCTATAAATCACAGCGATTCACACACTTTACTTACGGCGCCTACTGTTGGCTTACTCAATTATCTATCTCTTCAATCTATCTATTTATCTATTCAATCGCTAGCTTTATTTGCCGGGCTTATATACTGAAAAATAGAGCGCCTGGCAAACACTCGGACATTCGCGGGGTTCCTCGATAAGTCATGATTCATCAAGAAACTCCAGCGGCATGCTCCCAACGTCGCGTGACTTCTGCTGTCGTGACAATAGATAATAATTTTTATAATAATTCATTCTTTAATCATTTACTAAAATGTAATTTTCACAAAAAAGGTGAACCTTTATAAGTATGTGGAACATTATATGAAGTTAAAATAAATGTAACAGATATATATATGTTATCCATATAGCTATATGTATACGGAGGTTCTCATTTCTAGTTATCTCATTACACAATTCTTTGATTTATGAAAAAAAGGCCTAAAAATGATAAAGGCTGGATGTAAAACGGAGATAACGCTGTTCGTGAGAGACTCGGATGACCAACCTGTAATTCACAACAGAACCAACATACATGTTGAGCTTCGTCGTCTCACAACCACCTTTGATTCTCGAGAGTCCACCCTAAGAAAGTCTCAGATTTCCTTAGAATCCTCCAAACCGCTGGTGCTGTACCACATGAACATTCAGGGGAGGGAGCGTTCAAATAATAGGTGAGAAACTTATTAAATGGTAATATGGTATGTAAGATGTTTGCGTGACAGTTAGTGTTTCAACTTGTGTCGTCAGTGCATTTTTTTTAACCTTTGAATGGGTAAAATTACATGCTAAAACATTCATGCCATTTCTATTAGTACTAGTGGCCCTGTATTACTTGAATACTTGTCAAGTAAATTTCATAATTCTTAAATAAAAATGTTAATTAATTAATACCTTTGATTAATTAGAAATTAAGCTGGGTCTTTGGAAACTTAATAAAAATCGCGCTTGTATGTATGATTATGTTTTCGGTATATCTGTTTCGTTTATAAACATAATTTCCTTAATCACGCGAAATCTTTCTTAATACATGCAAATGAGAGTTCTGTATGCATGGAATGATAAATTTCACTGCAGCAAGATACACAAGTAGAGTTTTCTCTGTTTTGTGAGTACTGAACTCTTGGAACTTATAGAGGTAGTATCGAAAACCATCATCGAACATGCTCGTCCTTTCAGCTGTGGGGACGTTGTAATGATTCAGTCAATTCCACTATTCGTTGTTAAAGAGTTGGCGGTGAGTGAAGTTGACTAGCTGCCTTCCCTCTCGTCTATAACTTCAAAATTATGGACGACTAGCGCAGATAACCCTCGTGTAACTTTATGCGATAATTCAACAAACAACAATGGAGCAAGTGTATATTTCTCACTATAAACTATAATGTAAATCGGGTAAGATTCACGTTTTCGGTTTGTAATCACGTAATATTTGTATTTTGAAAGTGACTTTGTTTAACTTTTACTATAAAGATGTTTGATTTTTGTTAATAGGTTTAGCGATTTAATGTTCGCCAAGTAGTCCACAACGTTATCTGGAAGTCTTGTTAATAAAAGGAGCTTTGGTCCTATAATTGTTGTTGTCTACGTAAAAAGTTTGAAATCCTAAATTGTATGTCACATATAAAGGACAAATGTTTAAGATATTTTTGAATCTTGAGCTTTTACTGTATTGAGAAGTCAAAAGGAAAAAAATGTGGTTAACAACATTTCTGTAATTCTGTTTTTATATTAATAAATGATATTAATATTTCTGAATTTAATATCTTTGAAAAAATCGGGCATGTTAGGGATTGAGAAGTTTCAAAGGTGGGTCTTCTTTTCCTTATGTCATTATAATAATGATTATGAATGACTCAATTTCTAATATTCGAAACTATCTAGTTATCTATTCATGTATTTTCTGTTGATCTCTGTAAAGAATACAGAAAAAGATAGAAACGACACCAAAAAGCTTATTAACATAAATTAACATAAGAGTTTGATAATAATAAGTGATATCTTGTTCACCACATCATCTATCTTACGAACTGAAACGTTAGCTGAAATTAAAACGATTCTACATGGTTTTAAATACATCGTATTAATCCGCAAAACGAATTAGTTCCACGGTTGAGAAAACAAACTTCAAGTATTTCATCAATCACCACATTTTTCTACTTCTTTGTCATATGATTAGCTCAGCAGTCTATTGAAGATCTGTGGTGTTTCAATTAAAGGAATAAAACACACACTCTATTTATTAGAATATGAGATTAAAATAACGTTCAGATTTAATGATTTCCATAGAACAACTCGCCATCAAGACCACGTGGAAGTTACAACTCAAAAGGACGGTTCTCATATATTGAGTTTTACAGCAACCCAGACTGGTAATTTTCGGTTACATGTTACAGTGAACGGACAAGACATCAAGGTCAGTGTTAACCTCCCACCTCCCTTTTTAAAATGCATATTCTTTCTTTTATTACACGCTTTTGTGACATGTTTGTGCTAAACTTGTATTCAGTTCGGTCATATGACACACTAAATCGACCAGATATCAAGGTTAGTGTAATTTGTTTTTTTAGTCTTTTAAAATATTTCTTCTGTTTAATGCTGTGGTGGTTAGGACGCTCGACTCGATATCTGCGTGTTCGACTCCTATTACCGAACATGCTCGCCCTTTCAGTCGTGGAGGGAGTTATATTGTGACGGTCAATCCCACTTTTCGCTATTAAAGGGTAGCCCAAGAGTTTGTGGTGAATGATTGTTAACTAGCTGCCTTCCCTTTAGTCTATCACTTAAAAATTAGGGACGGCTAGCGCAGATAGCCCTCGAGTAGCTTTGTGAGAAGTCCAACAAACAATTAAATCAAGTTTTATCCTCAACTTGTATCAGTGAAATATGCCGGTTTGAGCAGACTGTATTAACACTTAAGTATCTTTGCGCAGGATGCTTTGTTTGGATGAGTGTAAGTGATGTTTTTAGGGAAAATGAATAAATAAGATTTGACGATCGTGGTAGTGAGGGAATTATTCATTGTCTCCTGTATTAACTAATATTGTGTAATTAATCCTTACCCTAATCCTGATTTGTAAATTACTCGTATAAAATTGATAAAAACTACACTTCACCAACTTTATCGAATTCACAGTTGCTGTTCACGCAATTTTAGCTAAATATAAAGAGTGTCTCAGCTACTGTTGTGCCTGCTTGGTTAGCCATGGTATTGGGCGAAAAGACTCGCCGGCAGTGTATATGGCAAATATATAGTGTGGTTGACATATATTCTTTATTTCACTTATAACTTCTGAGATCCGCGATATCTTTGCTTTTCTTGTTACTGGTTTCAATGAAAAACATTTACTATTTTAAAAACAGTTACCTCAAATTAGATTAAATCCACGAGTGTTGTCATTCATGTGTCTGTTTATATACGTATGTATGTATATATAAAAGAATTTCCCGCAGGGAAGTCCTTTTCCAGTGACAATAGCACCAGCCGGTAAACGACACACTGGAGTGTATCACTGCTGTTCGTTCTGTTCCAGCGGTGGTTCGCGAGATGCCCGCTGTGCTTGTGGCGGCGTCATGCCAGGTCAGTTACGGATAGAAAATTAAAACAATTTAGTAACCAATTCAGTTGCACTATTTTCTAGTATTTTGCTATAAACTGTTAATTATGGATTAAAAAAAGAAACTAATTATTTCTGACGTTGGGCTTTTAGAGATTATTTTTCCAAAATACGCTTCATTTTATATTATTGTTTGGTATAAATATCTTGTTATCATGTCAACCTTGTGATAAACTGTTGTCGTCAACAGTTCAGAAACTGAAAAACGTCATAGATAAAATATTTATCAATTCCCAAAACCGGTCAACTACAAAGTTTATGAGGA